CCACGGTGTCCCCCGTCACCCGGGGGTCCCGTGGGTTCCCCCCCATGTCCCCACAGTGTCCCCAGTCACCCGGGGGTCCCGTGGGTGCCCCCCATGTCCCCACGGTGTCCCCACTCACCCGGGGGTCCCATGGGTGCCCCCCATGTCCCCAAGGGTCCCCACTCATCCACGTGTCCGAGAAGGAGGAGGAGAACGAGGGGAGCCTTCATCTGCCCAGGCCTGGGAGGAGGGGTGCCCATGGGTGTCCCCGTCCCCTTGGGTGTCCCTGTCCCCACGCACGTGTCCCCTGGGTGTCCCTGTCCCCATGGGTGTCCTTGTCCCTGTGGGTGTCCTTGTCCCCATGCACGTGTCCCTGTCCACCTGTCCCCATGCCCCACCATGTCCCTGTGTCCCCCAGGACCCCACGTCCCCCATGTCCCCATGTGTCCAGATGTCCCCCAGGTCCCCCAGTGTCCCCCATGTTCCCCAATGTCCCTATGTCCCCATGTCCCCGTGTCCCTCAATGTCCCCAATGTCCCCATGTCCCTCAAAGTCCCCATGTCCCCATGTCCCTGTGTCCCTCAATGTCCCCAATGTCCCCATGTCCCCCATGTCCCCATGTCTCCCATGTCCCTGTGTCCCTCAATGTCCCCAATGTCCCCATGTCCCCCATGTCCCCATGTCTGCCACGTCCCAATGTCCATCTCCCCCATGTGCCCATGTCCCCCATGCCCCTGTCCCCATGTCCCCCATGTCCCCATGTCCCTCTGTCCCCCCATGTCCCTCAATGTCCCCTATGTCCCCATGTCCCCCATGTCCCTGTCCCCCATGTCCCCATGTCCCTGTGTCCCCCATGTCCCTGTGTCCCCCATGTCCCTTAATGTCCCCCATGTCCCCAATGTCCCCATGTCCCTGTGTCCCCAATGTCCCCACGTCCCTCAATGTTCCCCATGTCCCCCATGTCCCCATGTCTGCCATGTCCCTGTGTCCCCCCATGTCCCCATGTCCCTCAATGTCCATGTCCCCCCATGTCCCCGTGTCCCTCAATGTCCCCTATGTCCCCATGTCCCCCATGTCCCTGTCCCCGATGTCCCCATGTCCCCATGTCCCTCTGTCCCCCCATGTCCCTCAATGTCCCCTGTCCCCCATGTCCCTGTGTCCCCAATGTCCCCCATGTCCCTGTCTCCCCCCCCAGTGTCCCCAGTGTCCCCACACTCACCGGGGTCCCATGGTGCCAGTCTGTGCCCGCAACGTGGCTGGGCACACC